TGTCTGTCTTCCAATCAGTTGGCCAGGTAGCTGTCTTCCAAATTTCTTGGCATAGATGAGTGAGTGCTACATCAGTTTTATTCAAAGATTTCAATTTGTATCCCATCAATTCCCATTGCCTTGTTCTTTGTCAGTGCCTTTCGTACAATTTGCACATTTTATTCCTTCACTACCATTGGCTTATGCTACCTCTTGAAATGATTGAATACCATCTTCTTTTGGCACTTTCTGCATCACTCAATATTTCAAGTCGATGCTTGAATTTTTTCTTCATTTCTTTCAGCTTAGGAATTGCTCAGTGTATTCTTTTTTCCCCGTTTGTTTTTCTAACTCTAGGTTCATTATTACACTTGACTTTGTCTTCTTGAGTTGCCCTTTGAAATTCTTGGTTCACCGCTTTCACCTCATTTCATTCTTTTGCTTTAGCATCTCTCTGCTGGAGAGCAAGTTTCAGAGCCTCTTCTGACATCCATTTTGGTCTTTTCCTTCTTTTTTGTCTTCTTAATGACCTTCTGCTTTCTTCCTGAATGACGCTGTTTTATTTTGTTTTTATTAGAGTTTTTGGTGAAAGCTTGCACAAGTTAGATTTCCATCTGACTATTTGCACCCAAATCTTTCAGTGACATTAGTTACATTTATTGTTGTTGTTAGGTGTCATCGAGTCAGTACCGACCCATAGAGACCTTATGCACAGCAGAACGAAACACTGCCCGATCCTGGGCCAACATCATTACCACTGACACGCTTGAGTCCATCGATGTTACTACTTGGCCAATCCATCTCGTTGGGGGTCTTCCTCTTTTTCTCTGACCCTCGAACATACCAAACATATCCTTCTCCAGTGACTGTTCCCTCCTGACAATGTGCCCTAAGTATAAGAGACGAAGTTTGGCCATCTTGGCCTCCAAAGAGCACTCTAGCTGCACTTCTTCCAAAACGGATCTATTGGTTCTTTTGGCAGCCCGTGGCACTTTCAAGATTCTCCAACACCATAAATCAACTCTTCAACGGTCTTCCTTATTCACTGTCCAGCTTTCGCATGCATATGAGGTTACTGAGAGTACCAAGGCTTGGGTCAGGCGCACCTTAGTCCTCAAGCTAACATCTTTGCTCTTCAACACTTTAAAAAGGTCTTATGCAGCAGATTTGTGTAATGCAATACGTCATTTGATCTCTTGACTGCTGCTTCCTTAGAAGGAGAGCACAGATCTCAGAACATTTCAGACACTAGGCTGAAATGGCAGAACTTGGAAAGGAAAACCTCATATAAACAGAGATTAAGAATCAAAATTAAATCCTATATTCTATATTTAAGATCAATTATCTGCTTCTGTACAGTGGCCAAGCTGGCTTCCATGCATGCAAGAGTATAAATCTACACTTCTACCACACAGGGTTCTTCAGAAATCCTGATGGACTCTGAAGAGAACAATCACTGATCATGTGGAAAGACACACACATCCCACTTTCCTCCATCTGTTCATCTTTTCCACAGTCCTGCAGCACTCTATGCCTTAATGGCTACAAAACTTACTGGGTGCTGGTTTCCTATAGTTACATAAATTCAGAAAGATCTGTCTGGCTGGTACTTCCACATCAGTCCCAAATCCCTCAGCACATACTGTATTAAGCAGAGCAGATGTCAATGCCACTAAGGACTGGGGAGTGTGAGTGAGCAGCAATCCTTCACCCTCCAGGCTTTAAGGCATGTGTCAAACTTGAATATCCTATGCCTATTTTTAAACAGTACCTAACAAAAGTCAAGTTGTGGCCTTATTTGCAGACAGAGAAAAAAGCCCCATAAAAAAATACTTTTCCCTGAAACAAAATTAATTTTATATGTGAAAAATAGCATTAAAATTCCCCAATTTACTTTTTCATAGGTGGTTATATTTTCCATCTAAAATACTCTATATGTTTAAATCTGTGCTATGTAAAGTCAATTTCTTTGAAATTACAACTTATTACATTCATTGTACATTATTTTCATGATAGAAAGTAGTTCCATTATACTTCTAGAACTTTAGGACATTTATCTGTACAAATCCAAACTTACTTGTATGTTTGAATAAGTCAAACTAGCTGTTTTGAAATGTTTAGGGCCCCCTTCCACAGACAGAAAATTTTCACCTTTTCTAGAGAGAGGCTTTTACTAATCTTTTGGAAACAGACCCTCTTCTAATGAAAATGTCACAATTATATATATTATGTATATTTTATATATAATTCCAGACCCAAGAGGTCCAGATCCCTAGTTAAAGGTAAAGATTTTTGTTCTCCATCAATAATCTGTGTGTATACAGGCATATCTGGTTTCAGACCAAACAAAACAATACTGTACACAGAACAATATTTGGATTCCCAGTGCATATACAGGATTGTTTTTGGTTTGGTTTTTTTTACACTACATTACAGTCTATTGAGTGTGCAATAGCCTTATAAAAAAGTCTGAAATATTATGAGATTTACTAAACTGTGACACAGACACATGAAATGAGCACATTCTGTTGGGAAAATAGACTGATGGACTTGCTCAACACAGGGCTGACACAAAACTTCAATGTGTAAAATCACAGTGTCTGCAATAAAGCAAGACACAATAAAACAAAGGCATGCCTGTACATCGATGGCTGCTGTTTCTGTTGTGTGCTGTGGAGTCAGTTCCAACTCACAGCAACCCTGAACAGGGTTTCTGAGGCTTTAAATCTTCATGAGGGCGAAACTCTCTTTTTCCTCTCATGGAGTAGCTGGTGAATCTGAACCACCTACCACGCAGTTAATTGGAGTTGGTTCTGACTCACAGGTTCCCAATGCTGCAAATCTTTACCAGAGCAGAATGCCTCATCTTTCTCCCATGAAACAGCTGTCCCAACAGTTGTCCCTGCGGTTAGCAGCCCAATTCATAATTATTAGGCTACCAGAGCTCCTTGTACATTGATTATACACATATATGATTTTCACTTATTAAGAATATCAATAATCTTCATATGTCATACTGTGGTTGCAGTTCAGTGTTCCAACAGTCACGATGACTCTGCATATGGTTTCCAAGGACAATCTGTAGGTTTGAACTGCCGAACCTGTGGTTCGGCAGCTCAAACTAGGATCCCATTTATCATTGTTAATGCTGTTTGAATATTTTTCTACTGTAAATTTTAACAAGATTTATACTCAGTGCCCCCTAAGCAAAAAAAAAAAAAACTCCCCTCCACTGTGATTTTCAAATGAATTTGCTCTAAGAGACCTTCGGCTTCTAGAAGCGAAGCACTATTAAAGATCTTGGATATTACCTGTGAGACAAACAGATGATTATTCTGAAGACTAAAAGTAAAACTACCACCTCCACTATGCATTTAATATAATACTTGTACTGCCAATCAAAATAGGTATTAATCCCATCTTTACATGGGGAAGCTGAGGTTCTGAGGTTGAGAGGCTAAATAATATGTCTTGGAAATCATCGGATTCACACCCAGCCTGTCTAATTCTAAATACCATACAGCCAGGTTCTACCCATTTTGGACTTCAGTTTCTTACCTGTAAAGTGGGAATAACAATTGTCCTAAGACACATCAAAATGTCCTCTCTAATCCTCTCAATTTATGAGTAAAGTCTCCGTGTCCTCAGAGCCCCTAAAGTCCTCCAGAAAATACTCATTCTTGTGGTATATGCTAGAGGTATACACAATGTTTATTCCTCAACTAAACTCAGAGTCCACTTCTGATACATCTTAGAGGTCACTGCTTTCATATAAAAGGTGCTAAGTTATTGAATGAGATCGAGAAAATTTGATTTGTAGTATGTAAATTGTACCAGAAGCAAATTTCATTAAGAAACACATTCTATGGGGAAAAAATAAGTTAAGAAAACACACAGGTCATAGGTCAAAACAGTGGTTACTACAGGACAATCGTTGTGTGCCATGAAGGGGTCAATTCATAGTGACCCTATGGATCGAGTAAAATTTCCTAGGCTGTGGTCTTTATAGGAGCAGATGGCCAGTCCTTTTCTCCCTCAGAGTCCTGGTGGATTTGTCACAGACCTTTCTGTTAGCAGCTCCATGCTTATTCAAAATAAATTGCCTTAGAGTTTCTTTAAACATGAAACTCCCTACTTGAATGCAATTAAGTGCTTTACTATTCAAATAGGTTCAAATTGAATGTAAAGAACAGTACACAAAGATTTCCACATGCATAAAAATCTGCCATTAATTAAACTCAAAGGCAAGGCTGTATTTTTAAAGAGCATTAAGAACGTAAGTTTCTGAGGGTAGAAATCTTGGCCAATTTACTCACTGGCTGGCCTCCTCCTCCCAGTTCCCTGCACAGTGCCTGACACACAGATGATACTGAAATACTGACTGAAGAAGGGGCTATAGGACCAGATTCAAATCCATAACGTGAATTTCCCAATGCTAGGTTAGGCTCTCTGGTTTATGGGAATGGAAAGTCACTGTTTTTACTTAATCCTCTTGATATGTACTCTGTTCCAGTATGTGTATAGAAATGACCAACTGTTACAAGATACAGCCAGCTGTGTGAGGACAGATTTTCTTCTAACCAAAACAACAAATTACAGAAGCACATATGAGACTCTCGGTATCTTCTATTAATTAAACATTAAAGAAGATCCACAAAAATGTAAAAGAAATACTGGTCTTCCCATGATATCTTTTACTTCTAAATATATTTTTGTTAATGAGTTCAATGTCAGTATTTTTAAATGAACGAATATGTTTAATATTTGTAAAAAGCTAAAGTCTGAAATCTATTAAGCTTCACAAAAGTTTAAATTCTAAATTAGATGCAGATTAATGATATTGATTCAATATTAATTTCCTGGTTTTGATTACAGACCTGTATTTCTGTTAAGATGCTAGTTAATAATTGGGTAAGTTACATAAAAGACATATGGGAAAACTCTTTATTATTAATTATGCAATGTTTCTGATCTAAAATTATTCCAAAATGAAGTTAAAATTTCAAGCTAGATATACTTACTGCACCAAGTGATGGCCCATATCTTCCGGTGGCAACTTTACACACATAGCTGACAAAATTGGAAATGACACCTGGGAAATAAGTTACGTGTCAGTAATTTAAGAGAGGTATATAGTAGTCTCCGTTTCTGATCTCCACTCCCCACACACTAACGGTGTCAGGTTTCTATCTGGAGCACTATAAGGGTGCAGACATGAATATTTAACCTGTTATCACTTCGGGTACTTATAAAGGAAGAGAAATCGGGCACATGGCACAACTTGCCAGGTGATGTAAGTCATTCACTTTACCTCTCGGGTATCATGTCCCTCATCTACAAAATGAAAACAGAGACTGTTTCCAAACTCACAGCTGTCTCCAAATGCTCTGGGCTACCCTCTGGACACACTAAATTGGAATCCCCAGGTGGGCTCAGGGATGGTGTATCTTCCCAGCTCCCTGACGAAATGCTGACAGCAGGCCTGTGAGCCACTGGACTTCACAGGCTCCTTTAGTGCCAATGCCATTTGCACGGGACCTCTACCAGAATATGGCTCATTTTAAAAAACAACTTTCTATATTGTAAGAATTAATGGTATCTACAAGGTCACTGTGTCCACAAGAACATGACCAGCGCCTGGGACAAAATAACACATTACCTTACAGGCCAAAGACAATGTTCATCTACTCTGGAGGGACGAGGTGCAAATGAACAATCAATTAACATTGATGGAGTCCCTGCTCTATGCCTGTGTTTCGTGCTTTTATACAATTCTCTCTAAAACGCCTTGTTACGAGACGGTAAGTATCAATACTGCCGAGAGGTTTTGTGTTTTCTGCAACATCACATAATTGGTAACAGAAATAGGTTCTGAACTTAGGTCTGCTATATCCGTGCTCAGTGATTTCTTCACAGGGGCTAAGTGCCAGATATGCTATTTTTAAATTCAAGGATTTGGGGGATAAATTTTTATACTTTTTTGCAAATAGGTGATCTGAATCAGGAGATTCTTCAAAGCATATAATGTTCTCCTTGTGTATATCTATATGCAACTTTTAACCAAAGGATTGCTCTCATGTTGAACATATGTAAGTAAAACTCGACCAATTAACCAATTTGGCAGCATCTAGGGACTTCGAATTGCGTGCCCCACATAAAATAAATGATGACGTCTCCAGGACCAAGAGAAGTGGTCACTCATTCTTCACAAGGGCTTTGGTTAGCTCTGTGTTACGCTTTCGTGGGAACTCAACATACTGAAGGAATGAACCTGCGTCTAAGACAGTTGGGAAGTCTGGGAACCAGTACTCTATGAAGTGGTGGGACTGAATAGAGAAATCAAGGTCCTACATGAGAAAAAGTATGTGCTTAAATTCTACACTAATTCCCAATCCCTGTCTATTCTGACTAATTTTAAATTGGGCACACTTAAATAACACATGTAAGAAGAGGAACTCATTAAAGTGAGAGCAGGAAAGAGAAGAGCTCCCCCCAGTCTATGGGACGCTTCCTACATGCAACCAGAGGGACACATGCACAAGCACACACTATGGGTCATCCATCTCTTTTTGCCTTTTTCCAGACAGGTGAGAGGGTTTATACTTACAAGATCGCCGGTAAAAGAGAAATTACCTGCTGACAGGTACACTGCCATGAACTGCTCCTGACCCAGAATGTTTACTATGCTGGAGGAGAAGCTCCACAGAACGTACATGTTTGCTGCCATGTGGAACAAGGAGAAATGGCTGAACGTGGACAGCAGCATTGGAGAGCAAAGGACCTCTGCAAGAAAAAGAAAAACACAGTTTATTATGAAACACAACACAGACAGTCAAATTTTAGTGTCTTATCAGTCAGTCATAGGAAACAAAAACATTCAGTAAAAGCAAAACAAAAAGTGACATTTTTCAAAGTGATAAAAAGTTCTCTTTATTTTCTGATTAGTATAAAAAATATATAAGGATCTCTGTTAGTGTAGTAGTTACATAATGAGCTGCTAACCTCAGGATCAGCAGTTCAAAACTATCAGCTGTTCTGCAGGACAAAGATGAGGTTTTCTGCTCTTGTAAAGATTTACAGCCTCAGAAACCCTGTTCAGGGTCGCTATGAGTCAGAACCAACTCCACGGCACACAACAAAAAAAATATATACTTAAGCAATCAATAAAAGTTTTCAGCTGAATGAAAGCAACTTGTCCTTATAGCAAAAATTAGACAGAAAGGAAAATAAGTATAATTTATTTGAGTTATAGGCACAGAAGTTAAATATAAAATTCCCTTCAAAGAGTAAACTTGTACTGGCCATGGGTTTTTATTCATTACAAACAGTTAAATACCTCCTATGCACTATTTTGGGAACATGGTGACGCCAAAGGATAGTCACAAGCGTGGCAGTTTGAGTCCACCAGCTGCTATGCAGGAGGAAGATGAGGCTTTTTGCTCCCATAAAGATTTAAAGCCTCAGAAACCATATTCAGGGTTGCTATGACTGGGAACCAAGTCCACATACTAACAACCTCAACAACATGCACTAGTTTAAGCACCTGGGATACAATCGTCAGAGAGATGCTTGTCCTCATGGAGAGTTTTCTTATAACTGCTGACAAGTAGCTCATTTTTTCTCCTATAGTATTTAAATTAACATATATATATATATATATAGGGAATTCAAAAGTTTACAGAAAAATTCCACCATCTTTTAATTCCGTATTTTCCATGAACTTCTTGAAGCTCCCTCATAGCTTATGTCTTCCCACAAGATAAAATCACAGATTTAAACTTACTGGAAGCTGGATTGGATGTGAAATATCGGATCATAGTCCGCTGTAGAGAAGGTACTCTCCATAAACAGAATACGATGACATTTGCAGCTATGATACCTACAAAATAAATAATAGTTTAGGGAGGTTAAAAATAAGAGCAAATAAAGTCCACTTGAGTAAGAATTTCTAGCACATTTAAATAAGAGTATGATGTACTTGGTGGAGGGAGAGGGAGAAAGTATTCCAATGAGCTAAGGAAAGTCACTGAAATCAATACGCAAAGTATTAAAGTGCCACTTGATGGTAAAGTCAAACAAGTCCTTCATTCACCCAGGTTCATATTTTATTTTGTGAAAACAGTTTATCCTTCCCAATAAATAGCAGTGAGAATTCTAACTACTGATAACAGTCAAGCCAAAGATCGAAATGATTTACAGAGTTAGGTATTATAGTTTTAAAACTTAGCATTCCACCTCCCCCCTTTTTTTTTGCATGATATCCTTCTAAAGTTACATGGAAAGTTAATGTAAATAACTATGGATTATCTGAGCAGATGAAGGTCCACATGTATGAGAAAAATACTCATCTTACAAAGATTCAGGAATAATTGGCAACTGCTTTAAAAAATATATTTGCATATAGGAACTAGGTGACTATTTCACTTTTCTGAACTACCACTAAAGGGAGTCATTGCATTAACTGAACTAAGTATTTGGTCACATTTTAGAGAAGACATTTAGTTGTTCTTGAAAACTATAGTCCTTAAAAATTTCATTATTTTATGACCTATCACAACGCCCTGCATATCATAGGCACTCACCTACTTGTTAGAACTAAAGAAATTTGAACATTTATTCTTCTCAATCTCTCTAGTCAACAGACAAGTAGTACTTTTAACTTCTACAGTGACAAGAACGATTCCATTTTTAAAAGATGATCCACACTGTGCAGTCCCTGCCAGCTGCTGCGTCTTGCGGCTTCCCCTCTGCCTTCCACATTTACTCTTCTGTAAGGCGCTTGGCCATCTCTTCTTGCTTCTAGTCTATCTAGGTTTTGCTCTTCAACTTGAGGGTTAGGTAGGAAAGGAAGCTACCATTTTTCATAGATTCTAAGCTATTTTTTACCTGTTTTAATATCTGAAACCTGGATGCATCTTACAATTGGTGGGTGGCACAGATTAACTGGCAGCATTTGTTTTCTTTTTCCATAGCACACTAAAGAATGTTTGACTGCATGGTCAGTGAACTGATTCCATCAATTGTATCAGAAGTCTCACTAGCAGACAGTACGACAGATGTTATAACATATTTCGTAAATAACTAACTAAAAATTTCTCAAAGATAGACTGGAAACTGTGAATGAAGCAAGATAAGCTGCAAATACATGACCAACACACAAAAAACGGCTGTTTTCCTATACAGCAGGAGCAAACAATCCAAAAGGAAATTAAGAAAACAATTCCATTTATAATAGCATCCAAAAGAATAAACTATCTGAGAATAATTTAACCCAGAAGATGAACTATACTGAGAACCATAAAAGTACTGAAAGAAACTAAAGGAAACCTAAATAAATGAAAAGACATACACGTTCACGGAACGGAAAACTTAATATTGTTAAGATGTCAATGTTACTCAAAATGATCCACAGATTCAACACTATCCCTATCAAAATCTTAAAAGCTTTTTTTTAAAACAGAAATAGAAAAGCTGATCCTCACAGTCATATGGAATTGCAAGGAGCCCTGAAAAGTCCAAACAATCTTGAAAAACAAGAACAAAGTTGAAGAAATCCCATTTGCAGATTTCAAAACTTACTACAAAGCTATAGTAATCAAAACAGTGTGGTATCACATAAGGATAAGACATATAAACCAATGGTTTAGCGTTAAGAGTCAAAACAAAACATACACACATACATTTATGACCTATTGATTTTTGACAAAGGTGTCAAGTCCATTCAATGAGCAAAGAGTAGTTTCTTCAACAAATGGTGCCAGGATAACCAGGTATCCACATGCAAAAAAGAATGAATTGGATGACTACTTCTCCCCATATACAAAAATTAACTCAAAACAGATCAACAACCCAAGCGTAACAGCTAAAACTATAAAACAATTAAAAGAAAACATAGAAGAATAAATCTTCAAGATCTTGATGCACAATTAAGACACTTTGGTGCATAAAAGGACACAGCATGTGTTATCTGATACGGTCTTAATATCCACAACATATTGAAACTCTTTTAAAAAACTCAACACAGGCAACCCAATTAAAAAATGGGCAAAATTCTTTAACAGACATTTCTCCAAAGATATACAAATGACAAAAAGTACACACTCATACTCAACATCATTAGTCACTGTTGTTGTTAAATACCACTGAGTCATTTCTGACAGCATTCTTGTACAGGGTTTTCGATGTTGCAAATCTTTAAGGGAGCAGAAAGCCTCATTTTCTCCTGCAGAGCAGCTGGTGGGCTCAAACCACTGACCTTGAGTTAACAGTCCAGTGCTTATCCTACAGAGCCACCATGCTCCTCCATTAGTCATTGGTAGTGGTGGACACATGCCACAGAATCGGTTCTGACTCAAGCAATCCTGCATAGAGTTTCCAAAGCTGTAAATCTTTATAGAAGCAGAAAGCCTCATCTTTCTCCTGCAGGATGCCTGGTAGTTTCGAACTGCTGACCTTGAGGTTAGCAGCCTGACTTGTAACCACTATGCTACCAGAGCTCCTTCTATTAGTCATCAGGAAAATGCAATTTTTTTTAAAAAAGGGAAACTATCAAGTGTTACCAAAGATGTAGAAAAATTGGATTCCTCATCCATGCTTCTGCACGTGAAATGGTAGTTACTGTGGAAAACAGTTAAATAAAATTTTAAAAATAAACTCTCATGTTGCTGTTGTTAAGTGCTGTCAGTTGGTTCTAATTCATAGCAACCCTCTATAGGGTTTCCAAAAAGTAGCTGGTGGGTTTGAACTGCCGACCTTGCAATTCAAACCAATCTTGTGGTCCAGTGCCTATCCTACAGCGCCACACCAGGACCCAACAATTCTACTTCTATGTATGCACCCTATGAAATTGAAAGCAGGGATATAAATATTTGTATACCAATGTTCATTGCAGAAGTATTCATAATAGCCAAAAGGTGGAAACAACAGATTAACATATAAACAAGATGTGGGACAGATGTACAATGGAATATTTACTCAGCCAGAAAGAGAAATAAAGTCCTGATACACACACTACAACATACATGAGCCTTGAAAACATTATACTAAGAGAAATAAGCCAGATACAAAAGGTAAATTATTGTATGATTCTACTCATATGGAATATCTAGAATACACAAACTCACAGAGCTAGAAAGGAAAGCAGAGAAGAGGAAGAGATGGGGAGTTAATGTTTAATTGGTATAGTTTCTGTTTAAAGTTATGAAAACGCTTTGGAAATAGATGGTGACAACTACATAACATTGTGAATGTTAACTAATTGTATGCTTAAAAAATGGTTAAAATGGCAAATTTATGTATTTTTTAGCATAATAAATTTTTTAAAAATTTGAAGTTTTTTCTTAAAAGTACCCTTCCTCTACTTGTTAAGTGCTGCCAAGTCAGTTCCTTAGGTGGTAGGTGGCCACAAAATAGCTAATATGAGTAGGCACCATAACATCTAATCACATTTGAGGGTAAAAAAAAAAAAATTGCTATTCCTTGGGAAGTGTTTCTTTCCCATCTGTACAACTGCTGAATAGCTTAAAAGTCCACTTTTCAAACTCTTTCAAATGAAGATGTGGTGGTGGTGTTAAGTATCGCTGAGTCGCTTCCAACTCATAACTACCTTGCATAGGGTCTCCAGGGAGTGCCTTGTGGGTTTGAATCACTGACCTTACAGGTTAACAGTAGAGTGCTTATACAGTGCCACACCAAGACTCCTTTCACATAAGTACATTTATATAAATATTACACAGGTGCTCTTTAAAAAGCTAGGTCTGCCTTCCCATAAAAATTTACAAAGAACAACAAAAACAATCATCATGGTGATGTGCATAACATGCTTACATTCAGAGGGTTTTATACACAGCCTGGTGTAGTATAGATAATGTGGGCTTTAGAATGAGACAGACCTGGGTTCTGAAACTCAGCTCCACTACTTACTAGATGTGTGACCTTGAACAAGTTTCTTCTCTGAAAGTCAAGTTTCCTTATTTGTAAAAAGGGAGACAACTACCTTGTATGAAATCCTGTGAAGGAGGGAAAAGAATGTATATAAGACACCTTGAATGCAGGAAGTAGGAGCCCTGGTGGGGCAGTGATTAAGCATGATTAAACATTTGGTTGCCAACTGAAAGGTCAGCAGCTGGAGCCAACTCTATAGAAGAAAGATGTGGCAGTCTGCTTCTGTAAAATTCTACGGGGCAGTTCTACTCTGTCCTATAGGGTTGTTACGAGCTGGAATCGACTTGACAGCAGTGGGTTTGATTTTTCTTTAGTTATACAGATGAAATCTTGCCTTTGGTTTCTTTAAAAAGGGAAATCAGGACTACTACTAATCTATTTCACAAACCAGGATTCTAAAACAAAGGTAGACCACTTGCTCAGCAACAAAAACTACATAAAAATGAGGAAATTACTGTTCCAGCATGTCATGTAAACCACACTTCTTTTTAAAGCATCACATTAGTCTGTAGGCACAGAAACCCTGTTCTCTAAACCACTGGTGAGCACAGTACAAAAGTCATAGCCTATGACATACTGTACCTTTTGGTTTGATTTCTCTTCCCTTGAATGGCTAAAACGTGTAAGCTAACACAAACCTGTCACAGTCCGCTGGCCATCACTTAGGTTATTCCACCACTTGTTAATCTAAAACAAAAGGAAAATTGCATATCACCCTATGTAAAATACAGACTAGAGAAAAGAAAATACTTTGTGTATAAAAGAGGGACTCTTCATCTATAAAAGTCACTGGTGAACAACAGACATAATGAAGGTGTAGTAGAGAGGAAAATACATGTGCTATATAGTCGGACAGACTACATTCTCTATAGAGTTGTTATTAACTTTGGGACCTTGACCATGTTACTTCCAAACTTCAGTCCTGATCTGCAAAACAGGGACAATATTAGACCCTTAGCAGTGTTGTAAAGGAGTTGTAGGTAGTTAAGCTAACTGAAAGGTTAACAGCTTAAACCCCCACCAGCCACTCTACAGGAAACAAGATGTGACTCTGCTTCCATAAAGACTGTTGTTGTTGCTGTTAAATGCCATCAATTCAGTTCCGACCCATAACGACCCTGTATACGGTTTCTGAGGAGCAGTTAGTGAGCTTGAACCACCAACTTTGAAGTTCAAACCGACTTGGCAGTCCAGCGCCTTAACCGGACTCCTCTGTAAAGATTAGAGCCTTGGAAACCCTGTGGGGCCGCTCTACAGCATCACAAGGAGTCCATTTACTTGATGGCGGTGGGTTTTTGGTAGCAATGTTGTCATGAGAAATATCAATTAAATCAGATCTATACCAGTAACATGTATACCAAATTCACCAACGATCTACCTGGTTTGTCTTTATTATTGTTTTCTAAGAGATTTTTTTTTAAGCTTTCTCATTCCCACTTTTACTTTTCTTTGATTTGCTCCTTGAGAGATCAAGAAAAACCCAAAATCTTAAGTCTTAGATTCCTGAATTAATTTAAACTCATCTCATGACTTACGTGGCCAAGAGGTGCTGCTTTTGAACAATTAAGACAAAAAGACTTTATGCAAGCAGAATTTTCTGGTTGTGACTCCATTACATTTGCTGCAAAATATACTAACAGTGGGTTGGGGATTGGAGAAGGCTGAAACCCCCATTACACAGCAGCATGACAGAGAGCAGTGCCCTCATTAGACTTCAAAGAACTGAAGCTATCCTTAGTTGGGTGAGACCCACATAATTAAGTTTTACACTTATAACAACTGTCACTCTGAATTCAAGAGTAAGAAGATACAATTCCATCTGTAGATACCAACTTTAAATTTGGAGAGGGAAAACACTCAAATGACTGCATTAATATGAGGGGGCTTCAAAAGTTGGTGGAAAAATGGAATGATATTAGAATTTTTCCATGAATATGTTTAAGCCTCCTCATATTCTAGGTTAGAGTTTCTTCATAGATTTCCCAAATCCACCAATTATTTTTTGTCTGGATATAATTTACAGCTGTAGTATTAGGACTATACTAGCCCTGGCTCAGATGTGGTCATTAGTTTTAGAAAGTCCACTAGTCACAGAGTTGGCTATTATTACTAAATCTGCTGCTTGCAGACACCTCAGAGCTCTGGGTCTACTGAGTGAGACCTCACCATTTACGCTCTTCCTATATACAGGGCGTAGTGGTTACAAATCTGGTTGAGAACCTCAGGGTCAGCAGTTCAAAACTACCAGCTGTTCCGCGGGAGAAAGATGAGGCTTTTTGCTCCTGTAAAGATTTACAGCCTTGGAAACCATGTGCAGGGTCACTATGGGTCGGAACCGGCTCCACGGCACATAACAACAATATACAGGGTGTGTGTCATGTGTTTCTAACCATGATACAACTGCTACAAGGAGCTGGTTTCAGTATAACTGCAGGACTTCATCTACCACTGTGAATGCTTCTTTGCATACTGGACACTCTAAACGTGTATCAACTTGTTCCTGACTGTCATTATTGGAAGAGATGTGATCTTTTCCTTATCTGCTAGGGAAGAGGATCCTAAAAGCTGGATTACAATGGCATCAAGCTCTGTCTGATCTCAGGCATAGTCCTCAGGGTTGGAGTACAGCATCTCATTCCAGGACAAAGGGTGTGGTGAACTTGGGAATTACAGGTTTTGCAGGAAAAGAGCTGTTGTATTGTTTCAATAACTGGAGGTCTTTCTGAATGATTACTTCCTCCAAATGGGATGGCTAGGTCCCCGAAAGTCAATGTGGGGAGAGAAAAAAAAAAAAAAAAAAGTCAATGTGAGTTTGAGGATCCCTCTCACTGGCTTCATTATCCTGGACCAGTGATTGCTACTTTAAAATGTTCTGCAATCTTGGGGAAACATTGAGTGCAGTCCAAATGGTCCGCAAACTCTGCAAAATGTGTTGATGGTGCTATTATCTGGTTGCCATAACCACCTAAAAAACTGAAATCGTCTGTCACTTCTTCAATGAAACCTGACTCACATCTGAGACATTCTCCAAGTTTGAGCTAACCTTGCTCCCCCCCACCTCTTTTTTTTTAACCTTGCCCTTTTAAAAGTGGCAGAAAAGCGGTGTACAGCTAACAGAGGTGCCCAAGCCTTTCTGGCCCTCTACCTTAGTGTGGCCAGGGCCCCATGGCCATGTCAGTCACAGGACCAGTGAGACTGAGATGGCACAGACAGACCCCACTGCCCATCTCCCAGCACTACAAAGGTATAAGAAGCTCAATCTGGTTTTAAAATTCTAACTGACAATATTATTCTATATTAAAATTGTTAATTTTTTTTCAGGTATAATAGTAGTATTGAGATTTAGGAGAAAGCCGTTCAAGGGAAGAGAAAAGTCTTAATCGTTCAGAGATATATACTGAGAATTTCATGGATGAAATATGTCTAGGTATGCTATATTATATTATCCAATGGTGGGGAGGGAGAGATGGAAAGGTAAGGAAAACAAAAGTGGCCAAGTGGCCAGTCAATTCATTATTTTGTATTTGAGATTTTCCATGATTAAGGTTTAAATAAATCAATCAATCTCAAAAAAAAAAAACACACCCTGAAACTGAACCAGATTTTGCAGAAGAGGAAAAACAAAAATTCAACTTAAAAAAAAAAAATTGCTGGACAATACATATGTGACTCCATTTTTGTAATTATAAGTAAATTGTCAATGTATGCGCTCCTAAACATTAATTCATCAATACATAGTAGTGTGGCAGGGATTCCCAGGACTTTCACTTTCCATGTTAAATTTATGTTGTTTTGATTTTCCTTAATGGGCATTGATTTTGTATTTTTTAACCTATCATTTGTTTAACTCTACTCTACACAATGGCACTTAAACAACAACGCTACACAAGCCCATCTTTGGATGAAATGAAGATAATTCATGTTGTTTGTATGATTTCTCACCCATCTTCTCCAGAACCACTGGGTATCAAAGTTTCACAGTGCACAGATGTGTTTAAAAAAAAAAACAACTTTCTGAGGAATCCAGGATTACAGAACAAACAGGTCAGTTGTTCTATCTTTTCAAATATATTGTGCTAAAAGAAAATCTGCTGCTGCTGCTGCTGCTTATGGTCATTTTTACCTGCGTTATGAAACATCCACTGCTCTTCCAGCATAAAGCCTCTGAAACAGATACAGCTCGTGCTTCATGTATGTATCTATGGGAACACAAGGTGGAGTAGGAGTCCCTTCTTCCTTGCTTTGAGGAATCTCAAACTAACATTACGAAGAAGAAAACATAAAACTTCTCAAACTCTCCCTGGCCAGAATTAAGTTTCTAGAAAGTGGAACATTTGAACACATACACCTTCTCTACAAACTGAGGGAGCAGTGTGCTATAAAAAACAATGGGAGAAACTGTGGTACATTCATACACTGCAGCACTATTCAGCAGTAAAAAGAAATGAGCTATCAAGCTATTTAAAAGAGCCTTAAATGCATATTGCTACATGATCTAGAAGTCAGTCTGAAAAAGCTATATACTGTGGGTCCAATAATAAAGACATTTTAGAAAGGTAAAACTAAAAAGACAGTGAAAACACCAGAGGTCATCAGGGGTTCAAGGAGAGGGGAGGAAGGGTGAGCAGGCTGACCACAGGCATTTTAAGGCAGCACACTGGTCTATAAGATGCTGTGATGGTGGACACATGACATTATATATTTGTTAAAACCCCTCGGGCTGTACAATGCAAAGAATGAACCCTATTGTAAACTATGAGCTGTAGTCAATAGTAATGTATTAAATATTGGTCCAGTATTTTCTATAAATCTAAAATTGCTCTAAAAATTAGTAAATTTTTTAAAAATCATTTTAAAAACAAACAAACGTAAGCACTCGAAAACCAAATGAACCTGGGTTCCAATATTAGCTTATGGTCTCCATGTTCAACACATATTGGCAAGTAAAATAAATTAAAATGTTTCCATATTTTATCTAAAAGGTAACATTTAAAAAAATCAGTTCCGATAGAGGGGCATCAGCTTACATATAAAGTAAATGAAAAACTCTGACTACATTTATACCTTTTTCTTGCATTCCCAACCCCAGAGTAGTTAGAAACAGTCAGACAGTGGTATGTGGGGCCATGGAGAAGCCTCTTCAAAATCTACATCCTAACCCCATCCCTGGTCAAAACCTCCTGTTAAGTTTATGGAAAATTTCTCTGTGGTTCTCAATGTTGTTGTTAAGTGCCGTCAAGTCAGTTCCGACTCATAGCGACCCTGCATAGGGTTTCCAAGGAGTGGCTGGTGCGTTTGAACTACCAACTTTGCAGTTCAAAACAACCTTGTGGTTGAACGCTTACTCTATAGCACCATACCAGGACTCCATATGTACCCCAAAATAACCAGTTATAAAGATAAAAGTAAAACAATGGCTGCTTAAGCTTTAGTAGGGCTAGGATGGAGTCCCAGACTACTGTTTAATAACTATCCCTAATGATTTTTGGTCAAGTACCACTGTCAAGTACAATACCACCAAACATACAAAACATTAGTAGACACTTACTGTGATCAAATGATTCTAAAGTGCAACATTCAGTGCTTATCATTGCTATTAACGCAAAACATTTTAAAAAGAGTGATCAACGACAATAAAGGAATGTTTGTCTTTTTACCTCCTTTCTGAAGTCTCCTTCCTTTTGTGGTCTTATGCTATCCAACCAGTCAGCTTTTAAACCATCAAAGTAACTCTGAACCCTGGATTTCAGTGATTCATATTGCCAAATAGCAGCTGATCCAAATGCACAGCCTGTAAACTATATAAAATTATATATAGATTAGATGTTACAAAAGAAACTTAAGAGGGAATATAGATCTATACATATTTCCAAAGACTACCTTGTTCATGACTTTAAAAAACCAGCGTAAGAAGCACCATTATATACTGGCATGCTTCCTTAACAATAATCTACTAAGCGAAAAGAACATTTCACCGTTTCCCACTTTATTAACATCACATTATCCTTTGGAGCTGTTTAAAGCTGGGTTTTTGTTGTTTTTAATTCAAAATACCAACTTACTATTACTTTGAATGTTATACCAAGTAAAGGACTGCTGAGTTTCTTCTCTAGGGTTTATGTTAACTGGGACACATCCAAATGAAAACTATTAAAATTCATGACCCTTTCATTTTGAACCCACCTGTCCTTATTTTGTTGTTATGTGCTGTCGAGTCGGTTCCAACTCATAGCAACCCTGTATAGGATTTCTGAGGAGGGGCTGGTTTGTTTGAACTGGCAACCTTGAGGTTAGCAGTCCAGTGCTTACTCTGAAGTGCCACACCAGGACTCTGTCCTTACTTTAAGGAACCCTATTAGAATAAATGGTACTTTAACACTGTGCCTATAACAAGGTGGTAGTGGTTATGTGCCGTGGAGTCGGTTCCAACTCAGCGACCCTGCAGTGGGTTTCCGAGGCTGTAAATCTTTACGGGAGCAGAAAGCCTCATCTTTCTCCCACAGAATGGCTGGTAATTTCAAATTGCTGACCTTGAGGTTAGCAGCCCAACTTATAACCACTACGTTACCAGAGCTCCTTGTAACAAGGCTGATAGCACTTAATGACGAAAGCTCTTACCCCAACAGTAAAAACTAAAGGCTTTAGAAGAGTCCTTATAGGATCGGGAGAAGGATAAAAGACTGTTTCTTCCACAGGAGGAATCAAAGAACTTCTCTTGTATGCTTCACCACTTGTTCCCGTGTCTGATCTTCGAGGTTCAACTTTCCTGGGTGCTTTTCTGAATCCACATTTTTGCTGAATAAAAAGGTTAAACCTATGGAGGGAAATAACAGATTAGAAACAGAGCTGTTTCCTGCAAGTATTGACCTCTATGAGCCTCCCCGCTTGGTCTGCATCACCACCGTTCACTTTCTTCTCTGCAGCCCTAACGAGTCAAGACCCCCAGGTAAAAGTCACACACCAAACATTTAACTGCATTTCTGAAAATGGAGCTCTGGTGGCACTGCAGGTTAGGCATTGGGCTGTTTACTGCAAGGTCAGCAATTTGAACTCTGAGAAAATATGAGGCTGTCTGTTCCCGTAAAGACTTAAAGTCTTGGAAACCTCATACAGAGTCGTTAGAGTCAGGTAGTGGGTTTTGTTTTGTTTTTCTCTAAAAAAGGTACAACACAAACCAAAGTAACCTTAGAATGTTCAGGTTGTTGTTTTGCATCCACCAACACAATAATCTGCACCCATCCCCCACACAAAGAACAAGAGCAGTCCCGTAATATGCAGTGTGGTCAAATTCCAAGAAAAAAAATTAAGGATAAGTATTATCCTTGACCCTATCTCAAATTCATAAAAGTATTCCCTTTTCTAAGTACTGATCATTATAAACTGATGGATGCCTCCCACCTCACCTCTCACTGACTTCACTACAGTTTGGAGGCATTGTTGTGAGTCCTTATAGCTTGACGTTCTCAAAACAATTCAAAGGGCCAATCACAACCCCCAATCTTATACAATTGCAATCCTTATTCTTCATGTTCAAATTGGTCTTTAATTCTCCTGAAGCTTCCCCTTTTTTCCTATCTCTGAATGACAGACAAGCTCAAAGGCTCCAAGCATTCCTTTCCATACTTTCCATTCAAACTCAACCCACATAAATTCTGAAAGTATGTTTTTCTTTTGTGACACTCCCTGTATCCTGACATACTATGCTTTTACTCGATTCAGAGCGTCTTGAAAGTAGACATAAGCAAGGCCTTTTCATCGTTGTCACCCAGTCCCTGAAACAAGATGTTGCTTACATTTTAACTGAATAAAAGGATAAATTCATTTTTGTGACTTGAATGACTTCTAAGTAGAGAAATGATTCAAAATATATTTCTTGGTTCCTAATCTCAATGTTCCAGTGCTGTGTTTCCAACTACATATTGTGTATTTCCACTTGAATATGTTCCAAATTGCATCAAAATTCAATATAGCAAAAAAAAAAAAAGGAACTAACTTTCTGTAAATGGTTTTATAGTTCTCAGTTGCTTATTATAAAGGTTAAAAATCAATAGTTCATTTTGGAGCTCTCTCCTCTATTCTTCCCATGCAATGAAAACCCAACTCATCAAAAATGTTTTTCAACCATAGTCTAGTCCTTTTCCTCGTGTCTGGGTTACAGCAAGTTTACTTAACTTCTAATGTTTTATTTTAATATGTTGCATGTTGTTGTTATTGTTAAGTGCCATCAAGTCGGTTCCGACCCATAGCGACCTTGAACAGGGTTTCTGAGGCTGTAAATCTTTACAGGAGCAGAAAGCCTCAACTTTCTCTCGTGAAACAGCTGGTAGTTTCAAACTGCTGACCTTGCAGTTCGCAGCCCGATTCGGAACCACTACACTACCTGAGCTCCTTTAATATGTTGCATACTCCCTCCAAATTAACATTCTACTTTCTTCACATCATTCAATAGTGAATTTTTCTCACTCAATAGTTCGTTCCCAAATGCCCTCTCTCTTGGAGGTTATAAGAACTTCATATTGTTTCAAATGCCTGCTTCCTGGTTACTAGAATCATGTATTGTATTGTTTGATATTTTTCGATGCAGACCTTCCAATGAACCCAAGCAGGCCACTCACATGCACGCAGAAGGCTGAAAAGGCAAATTGCCCAGTATGGGTGGGGCACGTAAAGTTTGTGTCATGAAGGGAAGGAAAGAGAATACAGACAACTCCTTAAAGGTAGGTTCGAAGCAACACTGTCCATGTCATTTTGATTAGCTTGGGACCTTTTAATAGGCACTAGGAATCCTGGTGTGGCTCTGCGGGTTAATGTACCAGACTGCAAAGCCATCTGAACTGCAAGGTCGGCAGTTCAAGCTTACCAGTTACTCCTCAGAAACCCTATACAGGGTTGCTATGGGTCGGAACTGACTCGATGGCACTTAACAACAAGAAGGAACCACTGAAAATATTACATGCTTACAACTTTCTTTTAAAGATAAATCTGGCAGCATAAAGGAAGAGACACAAGTCTGGACTCAAACACAACAGATTGGGCAGTCTTTCTTTCCGGTGTGCATAGTGTTGCTAAGTCGGAACCGACTGGACGGCACCTACCAACAATAGAAATCAAACAACGTATTACATTAGGCAAATCTGCTGCACAAGACCTTTTTACAGTGTTGAAGAGCAAAGATGTCAGCTTGAGGACTAAGTTGCACCTGACCCAAGCCATGGTATTTTCAATAACCTCATATGCATGTGAAAGCTGGA